AATAATACCTAAAAGATGTATATAAATCAAAGTAAGTTATAGTCGCATCGAAGGAGCCAAGTGATGAAAGTTGCGCAACAAATCCTTATCCCGATTTCAGGTCACGATTCTGCAAAATCGACGAAAATAAAATGAAACGTTTCGTCGTTCGCAGACGAAATGGAAAATGGCGATATTGGATGATAGGAAAAGCGCTGAAATGTCATCATAAGAATCGACTCGGTCGCCATTCGCGTTACGTTTCGCATTTATACCGAAATACTCGTAGACGATACACATTTATATTCTTGCAGAGCGAATTTGTTTCTAAAATTAATTTAATAAAAAAATCAACAACAAAAACTACTCAAATATAAAAATGGCTCTAATATTTCACATTACAAACGTTACTTTTATATATTACTAGCTGACCCGGCAGATTTCGTAGTGCCTCAATCGATAAATAAAATACATAAACTTTTGTATAAAATAAACTTAAAACAAACAAAAGGAATCCGTGCGACGGGGAACAGACACATCAAAGGAAAAACAAAATTGTTATTTTTATTTATTTCCGACCATTTTCATATTTGTCTACCTTTTAAACCTTCTCTGGACTTCCACAAATAATTCAAGACCAAAATTATCCAAATCGGTCAATCCGTTCTCGAGTTTTAACGAGACTAACGAACAGCAATTCATTTTTATATATAGAGATATAAGATATAAGACTAGCCGTACTCGCCCGCTTCGCTGGGCATTTAAAATTAACATTATTATTTATTGTCATTATTATTATGGAGTCCAACACTCATATAAATATTAACCTATCCATTAAGTACGTGTATTTTCTACATGGATTCAAGTCAATCGGATGCATGGTTCAGTAGTTATAACGGAACATCCGTAAAAACCACTGTAGTTGTATATATTAGTATAGATATCGGACCCTCTAAAGAAAATATTTATCCATATTATATTACAAAATGTTCCTAACATCGAACGATGACATGAACATATACCAAAGTAAATAAGCCCGATCCTCCCGTTATATTAATAAATGAATATCATAATCCGCCCGCCCTACGAGTAAAACAGTCACATCTTACCAAGTTCCGCCCGCCTACAATATCATAACGCGACGCGATTGGCCCTTATTACTTGATATAATATCATAACACGCCCGGATTGGCCGAGGGGTTACGGCGGTCTTCGCCCCGCGCGTTTTCTCATTAAAGGTTAGTGCACCGCAGTAGGTGGGCAGCGTCGTTATAATAAGTTTTATGTCGGCGTGTGTCCCGCGCCTCAATAAATATGTCGGGCGTCGGGCGGCGCCCCCGTCCGGTCGAGTATGAACGGTAGGAAATGCCGACCGCCGCCCGACGCCGGATCAATAATAATACTCGGCCATATCTGCAGTGGACTGGATCTGCTTGAGAAAGCGCGCCCACCCCCGCGCGCCCCCCGCCGCTACACAAACAATATAAATCATTTTCCCGGCGCTGAAGCCGCGGGCACACGCAACCCGCACCGCGTCCACTACGCGCCAGCCCCGTTCTAAAGCCAACATCACACTGTTCGAAACGACGGTACCATTATAATTTACAGTTTTGAAACATTTCTCTCGATGCTAATGGGTAAATGCAGTACGTTGATTGGTTGGATTTTGAATTTGGAAACATTTATTGGCGAAAAATTTAGAAGAATTTTTTTCATAGTGATTAATTGTATGTACCTATAAGGAGGTCAGATGAAGTAGACAAGTAGATGTCACCATCCTGACCATTCCTGTCGCGAAGTAGTGACGCTTTTCGGTTTGAAGGGTAGCACAGCCGTTATAACAGATAAAGCTTAAGACTGAGACTGAGCTATTCAAGGTTTCAGCTTATTGGCCCACATATAGTAAATCAAAAACATGAATTCGTAATGTAGGCATAATACAAAATCCCAAACTATAGATTTACACCGAAAACGTTATCGTAATTACAATGCTGAACTGACTGGCTTAGGTCTATTTCGATTAATGCGATTATTACTTACAAACATCAATTGGATTATTACCGAACAAGATACGATTGTTGTTTCATCAAAATAGATATTAGCAACAAATTGTTTTTAAGGGATATTTTTAAATCAGACTTTTGGTACCCTTATTATCTATGCACCATTAACCACTTTATTTTATGTTTTATTTATTGAATCATCTATATCTACAAGACATGTTTGGTACCGTAAATTGAAAGGAAGTTGTAATCGAAGATATCCGTATTATTTGTGTTTTATGTGTATCTGATATTATATTAAATTAATATAAACAAACAAGTTGATATGATCAAACAGTGTGGTGACAAGTCACTGCCTCTAGTACATGCATCGGAGCCTCGTATGTATTAAGAGCGTTCGAAGTTCGAACTTTGCACAATTTATCAAATTGAGTTACCGAGGGGCAATATCGCAGGGCGAACGCAATATTGCAAGCGCGTGACCGCGTCTGCAATACGCGCTCAATACATCGGCCGGCGCCGGGCCCGGCACGTCCGCCGCCCCGCCCGTCTTCTAGCCGCCCAAGCCACCGCCCGCCCGCCCGACTGACCACCTAGATATTTAGCTAACAATGCTCCGCCGCGAACGGCGACTTACCACCGTCCCACTCGTCCCTCTCCGACGCGGAGGCGAGTCCGAGGAGGACTGCCGCGGCCTCCGGTCATCGCTATGTTTATTGGCGACGCTCATAAGTACGCGAGTCAGGTTATAAGTTTCTACGAAATGAATGGCCGGCGCTCGTAGGAGGAGAGCGCCCGGCGCGCTTAATAAGAAAGCATCTCCACCAGAAACTTGGCAGGGGGCATCACCCCACGGACAGCGGCGTTATAATTAAAAAACAAAAGAATACTGACTTAGCCTTCGGGCCGCTTTCATTGTACATCGACTAGCTACGAAAAATGCAGCAACTGAGAAATGTTTTAAATTGTATATTTTAAAGTTACTTTTGCTATTTAGTGTTTCAGGAAAAGATTCATGTGAATTGAATGTTTGTACTCACCATGTAACAATACGATGAAGATTCAGCTACTTTAAAATAATAGCTAGCCGACTTATTAGACTGGAATGCATGATTCGTTGCAAATTTAATCAGGACAATAGTAATGGTGCGAGCTCTAAAATGCCACCAGTACTCAAGATACATACAATTACAAGAGGAAATGGAGAAGGTTAGCTAGGCAACATCAGGCAAAGAGATTAAGAATCAGACGGCCTAGATCACATATCTGTAACAGTAAAGTGTAATTTATTGCATAATCTCAAAATGTACAATAAAGTATTCTTCTGATTCAAAATGCCACATTTTAAACAAAATAATCTTTAAAATGGATTAGGGTGGATATAAAAATAATAATAATTATATTGTAATAATTTAAGAATCTATTCACGTAGAGACCCATTAAGGCGAAACATGGTGCGCGGTCGTCACAGTCCACGCGGCACCTACCTACAACAAATACCATTACGGAGCCGGCAGATGACCGCACGGTTTTGTAATGCGAAGGCAACGTCGTCCAGAGCACCCCCTCCCCGCGGTCCTCTTCTCGTCCCTCACCCGCTCCCTTGACCATCGACCGACAATTGTAAATGGCACATAAAATAAATGAATGTGCAGCGGGACTCGCCTCTGCAGCAGACAATATAAATTACGACCCAACGATTATATTCCGGCGGGAACGAAACGTTTTCCTTCAGACATAGGTCCGGCATCCATTGCAAAGCGAAACAATCTTCTGCGAAAATCGATTAATGTGAAATTGATTAATTAGTCCGAATTCGTTAAATTTCATTATCTGTAATGAATTTATGAATTACTAGCTTTTGTCGGCGACTCCGTCCGCGTGGAATAGTTACTTTGGCATAACGCTAAATTTTACCCCCCACTTCGTTCACGTAGAAAGTAAAAATATTTTTAATTATAGAATGTTAAGCTTCAGCTTCAGCTTTATAATATTAGTATAGATTGGCTTACTAATCCAAAAATTAGAGGTAGACGGTGGCCCAGCTATGGCGCATATTCCAATAATACTGAGCATCAGTGATCACTCACCATCCGATAGTCCATATTCTCATCTAACTTCAACAGCAATATAAAATTAATCAACAAAATAATTTTAACAATACTTTATCCAATTTAATTCCAGAATTAAATATATTTCGACCATTAGTTCTATCCGAAGTTAATATCCGGAAGTTTTTGCTCCGAGATCTAATAGCGAATTACCAATAACATCTCATTGATCTTCTTAAGTGAAATTTATTGTGTCATTAAGCCGCCTACTGCTCCCTGGTCTCACAGCGCTTTCTGTATCTACTATCAATTCAAACTTTTTTGCAGTCATTCCGTAATACTTTCGCTTCGAACTCGACATACTAAGAAAGTTTAACGATTTCGTGCTAGAAGTTTCTCAACAATTCACTTATTTAGTTTTGAATATGAATAAATTATAGATAAATAATTTAAACTACTTTGACGGCTAAATCTCTGGTTATTTATTTGTTGTTATATTATTTCCGATGCGTAGATAGCTTTACAGTTTTCGTGGCCACGTACGAGAATGGTATTGTTCGTAAACATTTGAATATTGTGCTAAAGTTAAGTAAAGTGCTTCAAACGTGAAAGAAATATAACAGATTAATACTTTTTGCTGTAGATAAACTTAGGGCCATTTTTAAAAGATTAATTGAGGCTCCGAGATATAACAGTATGAATGCCCCTCCTAAAAAATGAGCTCGAAGTCGCAAAGTCGATTTCAGATGCTTGATTGCTTCCTACACATATAGACAGGACAGTGGTAGCCGGAGTACAAGATACGCCACACCACCAAAACAATTCCAAAAATATAATAACGTCAATTGGACAGCAAAGTTACGGCGATTCCTTCAGAAAAAAAAAAAAAAAGATGTGTAGTGTCGTGGAACACCGGATAGGAACGAAGTTCCTTAATATAAAAATATTAATTTTAAGTTTAGTTTTATTCGAGGTATAACGAAATTAACGAAAATAATTATTCGGGTATACATTTTTTATTAAGATATTTAAAAAAAATCGCAAGAGTCAACCACTCCACAGTGCAATGGAGCAGCCTCGCCCTGGGGGAACCGCCTGCATGATCACGGTATCCCCTACACCAGGAAAGTATGATTTAGCAAGAGAAATACGAGAACGTCTATCAACTGTGTAAAATCTCGTCACCGCGATTCAGGAATTGTTGAATTTACGTGATTGACAAATGTCGCTATCTGTTGATAACAAAGTAAATAGAAAGAATCTTACATTACGGACGTTTTTTCCCGGTTAGGGTACCCCTCCGCATCGTCCCATAAGGAACTTCGTTCCAAAAACTGAACAAAATTTGTTCTGTTCTGAGTAAGTAAAAGTAACTTTGTGTAATATCTAACACAAAACAGTAGGAACAATTTTTTGCGAAAATAAATTTTTTTGTCAGTGTAGGCAGAAAGCATACGGAGTATCTTATGAAAAGTATTACAGTCACCGTGGTTCATGGACATCAGCAATGCCAGGAGCACACTCAAGCCACTGTAAACCAATATGTCCAGATCATGTCAATTAGTTAGGTTTGTTCATATAATCATAATCATTCATGTTCTTTTACTTGTCACTTGTAGCCATCGATATGCTTGTAGCACATAGAAAACCTATTTTGGAAGGTGATTTAGTCCGATGAGTATTATAATTTTATAGTGTAAGTTGATGTACCTAATAATATATGTGCGTATTGTGTTGCTTTTGTTTTTTTGTATCTTAAAGTTCTAAATTTCTATTCTCTGTTCACTTTCTACTTATATGTGATTTTGATAGTGGAAACATGTTTGGTTATTGTTTTAACTATTTTTTTTTAAATATTATATGTTTGTATTGTATTGTTGGTTTCCTAAATAAATAAATAAAATAGGTAATAACAAATTTCAATTAATTATGCACATTTATGGTGTGCTTTGAAAAGGCAACTAAGTAACATAATATTTGTTTTTTACTCTGTACTGTGACGCACCAATTACCTGTGGCTCAAACGACGGCAACTGTACCCGAGCCGACCAGAACACCCTAGGTGGACAGCCAACAGACCTTGACTCACATCTTTACTAAACGAAATACTCTATTCCCTTCATTACAAGGTCTGAATTAGCTCATCGTAATTGTAGTAACGAGATTGTGAGTCTGAACACCCCAGTCGTCGGTTCGGCCGTCATTAAATGTCATTAGTTTTGCGACACTGACCAAATGACTGGGCTCCTATATCGGATGAGTCATTCCAGCCCTGATTAGTCTGCGAAGTTTTATTATTACGAGTTATTTGATTCAAAGATTTCTTTGGGAAATTCAAATTAAGAATTAATATTATTTTGATTAAAAAGAGTAGAAGCTGTTTTTGGGCATTTGGGGATTTTAAGTTCGGTTAAAACCCGAAACAAACACTAAAATCAACATAGTTACAATAAAAGACTCATTAACTATTTTAAAACTGCGTTAATATTATTGAGGTAAGTGTTAAATCACCGCCATCTATGTAAAACTTGATACACTAACTCAATAAATAGGAAAATAGTAACTACACCAACCACTAGATGGGGCGAGACAATTAAATACTTTTAATTTAATATAATATTTGAACATTTGAAGACTAAGTCTATTTAGATGAAAAACAACGTTTTTGTCAACACTTGATTTTAGTGCCGATCAATGTGTCGTGGACTTTATGATCATACAAAGTCGATTCTTAAGAAGTAAGCTCTAAAAGAAATGCAAAATAGGAAATTCGTGTTCTTTAAATGAAATATCTTGATAACGCGTACATATGCCCCGTATGAATTATTTGGAATACAAGTTGGTTTTCTTTTATTTTAAATTGATCCTAAGCCTTACCTAGATAGGCTACTGGGAACAGTCTAAGGCGGCGGCTTGAAGTTAATGGAATCATATATATTATTTGTTCTTTTAAAATACAAATCTATATAACATAGGAATAAGATTGCAAATTGATTATATAAACGTCAATCACGCTGTACTCTGATAATCCACTGCACTAGTTAAGAGTCATACGCGTCCAAGTTCACGTACGCAGAAAATTGGAAAATAATAACATCCTAGCAGAATATACCGTAACTTGGAAAATGCGAACGTATTTATTCCAGTAAAAAGCATAATATAATGTAAATAACTTTAAGACAACTAAATGCATTTTCTTACTCTTCACGGAGATTGAGCAGATCTACCAGAACATTAATATTACCGTAGGTACTTTTTTTACTTTTTTTATTGCTAACATGGATGGACAAGCTCATAGCCCACCTGGTGTTAAGTGGTTACTGGAGCTCAGAGACATCTACAACGTAAATGCGCCACCCACCTTGAGATATAAGTTCTAAGGTCTCAAATATAGACGGCTGCCCCACCCTTCAAACCGAAACGCATTACTGCTTTACGGCAGAAATAGGTAGAAACTCCCCGCACGGACTCACAAGAGGTCCTACCACCAGTAAACTCTACAATTAATTTCGATTGTATATTTTTTTGTTGCCTAAATTGATTCACTACATTATGTTCGACGCAAAACGTAATTATTTTGAAATGATAGCATTGTGTTCAACACGAAAATGCATTTCGATAATTTCATATAAGTCAATCGCGTGCAATTACTTTCACTTAAGAGTTTTCTAATTAAGAAAGCGATAAGTGCATTTGTGTTTTATACTACGGCACAAAATTAATATCCCGATCGGATCAAGCCATTCGTTAGCACCAGACACATAACATAAACTTAATATAAATGTAGTCTCAATAATTAAAAATCTATAGGTATTTTTTTTTTCCTACCTATGCTGATAGCCTTGAGAGGCTATTCCAGCTTCGCCCTAACGTTTGTAGGTGAGCTCGCGGGGCTCAACCGAAGAGTTGCTAACACTGATCCTAGCAAGAGCAGTGCTTCGCAGAATCTACCGCCGGATCGGAAACGCGACCCACTGAGAAGATCCGGCGAGACACTCAGTGGGCTGTGTCTATGGGTTAGTTCGCTCGTCGAGCCCTTCGTCGCAAGCGATGGGTTCGACGAGGACGGTGACCGGGGTATAGGTAATATAGTTCTACTTGTAAGGCGGTCATGGCCTAAAGAATAAGATTCTCCGTTCATTCTTATTAAGTGATGCATCTGTACCGAAGTTCGAATACCGCAGACAGGTACCTAGATATCTAATGACATAAGTACTTGAGTCATGTTCAGGAAATATTTCCGCGATAAAGAAATAACATCGTCTGACCAAAACCAAACCCGCAAAAAATATTAAATTTTCGTAATTACTATACAATTGAGACATAGACCTCAAGCCTCAAGGTGAGTGGCGGCATTCAAGTTGTGATATTCATGGGCTCCGGTAATGGTTACCGGTTGGAGCATAAGGTCGTTCACCCGTCTACGCAATAAATAAAAAAGTTGATTAGATTGCCTAGAACAACGTGACGACATCATCTGAAAACAAAATTTAAGCAAATAAAAGCATTATAAAACATAAACCCACTTATTGTTTTATTTATAAGGCTGCCTATTACTGTTAAATTAATAACAAATGTAAAGTCGTGAAAATTTAGAAAATATGTTTTCCAAAATGTTCAAGCATTTTCACGCTACGTGAAGATACTTTTTTTTTATTGCCCTTGTATGCAGACAAGCATACGGCCCACCTGATGGTGAGTGGTTACCGTCGCCCACGGACTTCAGCAATGCCAGGGGCAGAGCCAGCGGTGCTGCCTACCGTTAAATGTATGTTCTATGATAAAGTGAAATTATTTAAAAAATGCATAATATAATGTTAATGACTCTGCTAGTTCAATAACTAACCTAACAGGAAAGCGGGACATTGGTCCCGCTTTCCTGTGTAACCGTCAATAGTATCCTCAAAAGAAATTTCCTAAACTTCCTCTCTTTGCATGACGGGTTCTGAGCCGTCACTAGGTAATTGTCAACCCTTCTACCTAATTCGAAAACGAAGCAATAATTTTTCTAATATTTTTTTTCCAATAAAAACGAATTAATTTCTCAGCACGGGTGGCACCATTCTTGTGTTGACAATAGCTTCTAGTGCTCGAAATCAAAAACCTATAAACATACACATCTATATATTTTCATTTACAATTATTTTATGTTTTAATTTAATAACTGGTTTAATAAACACGGATTAAGAGATTTATTATTATAGGAAACGGTGACCGTGCGGTATGTGTGTACAGTCGAGTCTAGAAATGAAATTGATTAACTTTACTCGCAGCAATAATGGCTTTGGCACGTACCAGCATAATTCCTGACAAAACTTCCCGATACGCCCCGGCGCAGCGATAGGGATGACTCTGGTTGAAATCTGATGATGTTTTTCTCATTTATTCAGAAACAAATTTTAAGATCATCTTTTTCTGAGGAAGCTTTAATCATATTTCATTCTGAGGAGGTTTTAATCACAGTTATTAAAAAAATTCGACATAATCATAAAAGATCTACATATCGACCATAGATAATACACATATACACTGAACAAAGAACTGTTTAACACTGTTGTTGTGTGAAACACAATTTTAAACCTACCCGCTTCGTTATTCACACAATCGCTTACGGTAAGTGTTCTGTTCGTTCGTACGTCTAGAGAATATACTACCTAGTCAGGTCATAAATTCTGTCACATGTTTAATGTAAAATTATTGAAACAAGTTTATTCATTATGTAACCATTCATATACCAAAATGAACTTAACAAAACATAGATTCTTATGACACTAAAGTTTATTCAAAATGACCTCCGTGATTTTGAATACAGGCCTTCAATCTGCGCGGCCAGTCGTCTATCGCAGCACGAACGAGGTCCATGTAAATATCGGCGGCTGCCTTAATCAAGGATGTCTTGAGTGACTCCAAATTGGGATGAGGCTTTGAGCACGCCTTTTCCTCCAAGTGTTGCCATATCTTGTAATCTAACGGATTCAAATCTGGACTGGAGGAGGGCCAGTCTTCGTGCCGGATGAAGTCGATTTCACGCGCCGCCAGCCAGTCTTGTGTGCTCTTCGCTCTATGAGCTGGCGCCGAATCTTGTTGGAATACCCAGTGCCTGTTATTGAACATGGTATGAGAAACAGGTTCCACAAGGTTCGTCAGGACTGTATTTTGATACACAACTGCATTCGTTTTTACACCTTTCTCACAAAAATGTACCTCTGTTAAGCCCCAATAAGAAACTCCCAACCATACCATGAGCGAGGATGGAAAATGACCTCGTTGGACACGCGGAATACGGTTGCTCGCTTCTTCACTACTGTGTGCGTACACCTTATCATTTTGTTTGTTGTAGCTCTCTTCTACGGTAAAAATTTTTTCATCCGAAAAAAGAATTTCCCGATATTTTTTTCCCGCGTACCGCTTCAACAAAGCGCGGCATCTCTTCAGTCTCAGGTCCATTAGACGAGCATTCAAACGATGTCCTGTTTTTCTTCGATATGCCCGAAGCCCTAAGTCTTCATTTAACACCCTTTTCACCGTGGTTCTGCTTAACCCCATCTGAAGGGCCAACAGTTTCTGCTTACGTTTGGGATTTCTTTGAATTCGCGCCTTCACAGCTTTTATCACTGCTGGAGTCCTAACAGACCGAGGGCGACCACTTCTTGACCTGTCATCTACACTAGAGTCTTCATTGTATCGTTTGATGGTACGATAAACGAATCTTTTGGTTATATTCAAATTTTTCAGTATGTTAAAAATTTGAATTGGCGCGTAACCGCAACGATGCAACGCAATAACTGCAACACGGTCTTCTTTAAGCGTCCACTCCATATTTAAAAATGAGTAAAATTCTAAAAGTATACATTTTTATTTTCATGAACAATTCGAAATTCGAATTCAATAAACTTTTTTGTGGCCAGCATTCTAAAAGAAAAGTTTTTACTGTGTGACAATACTTATGACCTGACTAGTTATTAGACAGCAGACGTAAAAAATATATATAAAGACAGACACGATAACGTGAATGCAGCTATCCACTTTGACACATTAAACCAAAGTCAAAATGATATTGAAGTAACGACCATCCTAATAGTCGTTTGGTTTTATAATCACAATATGTAAACAAGGCAATGTCTGACCACATACTAATAAACACCGATACCAGTAAGCATTCACTTAAATATGAGTATTAAAGGAAAAAAATGCCTTAACTAATTTGAATATAGCCTACTTACTAACTAGGATCTAGTCTCCGCGTGAAAACACTTAACAGAATTTATATCTTTAAAAAAAATTAGCGATACGTAGCAGCCCTTAGTACTGGTCAGCGAATAGCAACGGAGAGACGTAAGAAGGGGACGTACATCCAATATAAGAAGTGAACAAAATAGGTTTATGTTGGATACTTTGACCATTCGACCGTAAAGTAACTCCGCTGTGCGAGTGACGCTCGTAGTCCGTGACCTCGCATCCACTCGTACATATAGACATTCCGCTACAATAGCCAAAATGCATTAGGGTATTAATTTCGGTCGTTACACAACGCTACACTGTACATTCGTAACAAGCTAGCCTTTGATCAGGTACGCTATATTCCAAAGCCGCTCCTGGCTTGATCTAAATCAGTAATCTGTAGAGACATCACAGTTCGAATTGTAGGCACGCATCAAGTATTAAACACCCACAGATGGGCGCTCGACATTGAAATTCGATAGTATACAAACAGGTGGATAATATTAGCCTCCATTAAACATCATCAGGCACGCGTTCACCTGAGATTCAATTGCAACATTGATGGTTCCAAATATAAATTCATAAACGTAAGCATTTTTAATGATTTATTATTTCAATTCTAAGTATCAAAGTTTAACAAGTTAGTACGAAGATTTTTTAACATTGTTCAGTCTACTAACTGAAAAATCGTGGAGCAAATAACACGACACATGTTTTCGAAGAAGTACATCGAACGCGACCGCCGGCGGACCGCTTAATCAGCGCTAGACCGGCTACTCTATATTTGCGTATGCAAAGAGAAGCCAGCCACATTAACGATGCCATATAGGCAGCGTACCGTGCAGCGATTGGGCAAACACATATCTGCATTATAAACAGCGTCCGGGCTCACAAACGCGCAATGTGGTCAGCCTTTACCGGCGCACGGCTAATCAACAAGCTGACCTTCCGCAACGAACAAACGCCACACCGCGCCGAACTGAACTCATGAAATCCTTTTCCATGGATCAGTGTGCTTAGTGCGAGTTTTTTAACGCTCTCGGTAGCGTAAAAGTTAGCTCATATTTGTATCGAATGGGATCGTTTGCCTACGTTTGCCGCTAGGGGCGCTGTTCCAACTGCATACAAAACTGGGCTAACTTTTACGCTATCGAGAACGTGAAAAAACTCGCACTAAGCACACTAATAACAGCAGTATATTCAGTACTAAAATACACATCTGCGACTTGGCCTTTTATTTCAATTTACTCAATACAGACAATATTAATCTATAATAACTCATGTTCTTAACTATTGCACGGAATCTAAGCATCCGTGGCAGTCTGCATGGTTAAGCACTTAATCAAGGCAGAAAATATCGTAACAAGGTTGGCACGCGTTCGTGTTCATGCACGCGCACTCAATCGATGTAAACTTTCTACTTTCCACGTGTTTAGCCGTTGTACATTACGGAAAATCTTGACATATTTCTTGGAGTCTTCACCAACGAAGCGAATAAAGAAAGCGCGCTAATTGTAGCACTACAACTTGAAAATAGTACAGCCGTACTATCGTAATTCTTAAATTCGTATATTGATCATTGATTAACATGGTTAAGTAGGTTTCGTACAAATTCATTAATAGTAATTAGGCGCTCAATTCATTCAGTGATCTACAAATTAGTCACAGTATGGTCGTATACAGCCACTGGACGTTAGAATTCAGAATAACAAAGAGGGGATGATGATGAAACGGACGTTTAAACTAGCTCATTACGTTGCTCATTATAATCCAAAGCGCCTACCCCAAATGAATTTTTAAAAACGGGCTTACTATTTCTTAAATTAGTAATGATTTACATAAAAAAAAATTTTTCTTTGTTTTAAGTTCGAGTTACTTCCTCGATTTTTTTCTACGCATCTCTATTTTTTTCACGAATTTAGAAATTAGAGATAATTTTTTTGCTTTGAATGCTTTTAAGATTAATCTCTCAAGTTTAAAAATAATCGATCTATTAAAATATTCTACCAAAATTATGTTGCCAAATAAAACGATACTGACTGTGACATTTTTATTTTCGTATCTTACATCACTTCAATAAATTAAACATAATAATTACATGCCGTGGTCACAAATAAATAAATTACATCAAATAATTTATTGAAATAAATTGAGTTTCTTTTCAACGAAAGAGCATTCTGAAAGAGTTGTCCGCGATGGGAGCGTTGCTTTGGTTTGAGGGTATTTTGTGTGGCTGTGTCGCGGTGGTCGAGTGAGCCAGTCGTAGATATCATCAACTTGCTTCAGACGATGACATACTAAGCTTTAGCGAGTGTCGGTTTAGCATAATGATAAGGGTCCACCGCACTTGGGCTCACTGGTCTCACCACATACAGATTCCGCCTTTGAATTAAATACTAAAATTAAAATAATTGGGATTAAAGTAAACACATACTCAAAAAATATTAAATTCAAAGACAAATCGTTCATATTACTTCCAATATAAACGATTTATGGCCATTGGTTACTCGACCTTTTATCCTAACTTATTGTTTTATTAATCCTCTGTGTGCAGAGACTAATGAGTTTATAAATTACTTTGAAACACTAAATTTACAAAAATGTACAAAAGTATGTAATATTATAATGAAAATTAAATATAGAATTTCGAATCATTTGTTTAGTTATTAAGATTTTCAACAAGGACTTATAAATACCTATGGTGTCCGTCTGCGTGAACTTGGAACGTCGTTTCAGTGGGCGTCTCATGACTGAACAATTTCTTGAGGGCAATAATGCCTGCAATTGTCAAAGCCACTTTACTGGCGATAAGGGCTTTGCCTGCGATAGCGGCTAGGGTCTTCAATGCCATGCCTCCGAATATGCTCATGGTAGAAAAGATACCGAGGAGCAAATAAGGCAGGACCTTTTTACCTAAATTAAAATAAATTAAATTAAATGAAATATGAAACCAAAAAAGTCTTTAATCTTTTACAATTAGGGACCCTCACCTCTACCTCTGCCTTCCGTAGCAAGATCAAGAGAAACTGTATGAGTGTTCATTAACTGCTCGAATTTAGTGCGCAGCATAGAGTCGATTTTCTCCTCTTTCGTCATTCCTGGAAAGAAACGTGGCTCTGCTACTGCTGAGGGAGCGTCGCCCTCCTTCACTAACGATAACCCATCAGTGATCTGAATGCTCTCCTGTATGGGAAGCAGAAAATAGAAATCCAATTAATAGATTTAGCATTCAGAACCGAAACCAACTTACAAACATTTCAATTCACCTGCTCCACCGCTCGTGATAATGCAATCAAAGCTTTGCCCTTCAGACACAGTGACATATGTTTCTGAGAGCTACAGTCATCATAAACTTTCTGTAAGACGGCAAATTCGGCTGACGGCCACCAGGAGCTCTCCCCAGCTCTGCCACTATCTATTTCGTTCTCTGAGTAATCCTCGGCATCCATCCTGCGGGATCTCCGAGGTCCATGAACGTGACCAGAAGCGATGACCACACAAATGATTGACACGACGTATATCCGAAATGCGGTGGTACACATTGTTGTTTTGTTCTTTCACACACTACACTAAAACTAGATTTCAACGTATGTGAGGATGATCCAACGACGACTGACGAGCTCTAGTGCTAGTGAGAGCTTATAACCGTGCACCACTTCACCGTCGAGCACCACCAAACATCCGCTATTCCGCACCAATTCTCCGCACGCGCATTTACGTAACTGAACTTGAAAATAATCGCGAACCATTTTCCAGGTGAATTTCTCCGATAAAATGTACGGCAAAAAGCGAGACACATATCGTTTACCAATTCCACCGTACACTAGATGTACCTACTTATCGTTTACGTACATGAGAGAGCGTTACTAGAATCATCTTGCATGAGAACAAGATCATTCAGCTAGCTTTTTACAATTGGTCAACTGATTTCAGCTATAATTCTGTGAAAATTCTTTATGCTGTTTAGGGCTGACGTAAGTGCACTAAATTTATCCGGTCGGCGGTGTATTGTATTCCGACCCACCTGGCTGGTCCTGACCCATGTGTATTCCAGATCACCAGCGGCACCGCCCGAGCGGCATGACGGACCACCGTCACGCGGAGACCGGCGTAGTTTGTCGTCGTCGGTCACTTCGATGACCCATCGTCTTTGTTATGGCGCCGCGAGTCTGATTGCAGTATTGACCGCGGAACCTCCCCTACTCTGTGCGGGTTCTGACCCCGGGCAGAGAACGGCCGTCCGGTTGGAGAGTGTAAGGGGGTTCGTTTGGTGGATAGAGCTCTAAAAATATTCTTAGGCCCGCGATACGCTTCCAATATTTGCGGACCGTTAAGAACCACACACCCCGAGCGCCCCTAGATACGGAACCAGCGGATGCGATTCGGCTGCTTCCTCGAGTAAAAAAAGAACACTAAACTGTGTAGCATTAAGTATTCAAAGGGAAAAAAGCAAAACAGTACGTAGCTTTGTATATGAGGAACTAATGAGGAAAGTAAAAGTAGATATTAATTCGACACGAAACGTAACAATTAAATAACATCCGTACAATTTAACAAACGCACTTTCATGCTTCAATAAAGCGTTGCCTGCAATCTATTAATATTAATATTTTACAAATATTTTGTTCGGTCACTGTCCTTTTAAGGTAATTTAAGAAACTCCAATTGAGAAATTGTCCGGTATTCCAGCAAAAACGAAGGTATTTTTTTGGGAAAGACGTTCTATCTTCTCCCTTGATCTCTGCGAAGATGGGACGAAAAGTTGGGCCCCCAGCTGGTGGCGATGGCTGGCTCGTTGAGCCGGCTCTTGCCAATCGTCGGGGAGGCTGACACGGTGGTGCACCGCCTCTACGTGGGGGTGGTGCAGTCCATGACACTGTACGGAGCCCCATTTGGTGCCGCGTCCCGATCCGCAAGAACATCGCAGTGCTGCGATGTTCACAGCGCGCAATCACGGTCAGACCGTCAATCCTCACATACCCTGCTTGCCCCCTGAGCGTAGACCTTTTTTGAGGATCGGCAAACTGCCCGAAAAAGATACGAAGTAAGATGGTGATCTTGTCTATTTCTACCAATTATGCACTCCGGTTTGAAGAGTGGGATGGCCTACCGATTCCAGTAACCACTTAAAACCAGGTGAGCCGTAATCTCATTCACACATCAAACAAAAACAAAATAAATCCTGGTAGCGGAGAATTAACAGACTCATGCTGGTCCTGACCTAGCGTGGTATGAATTCATGGTGCTGTCTAGGCGAGTTTTGAAAATTCCGTCGGACTGGTACTGGTTGTTAACCAGAGGCTTCGGATCGACTTGACCAAGCCTCGCACGTTCATACTTCTCTGTACCCAAAAAAATCTCAATTTTGGGATTTCATAGGATAAACCATCTTCATCAGATAAACCAGACTTCCAATCAATAAATATCAGTTTTAAAAATTGAAAACAATAGCACGTTGTAAATACTTTATTTACAGATAGCATCGGTAAAGGTAAAGTCATTATCTTAACAGCAACCTCACGGTTTTTTTATTAAAATGATTATTTTCTTCCATATTTTCTCTCTTTTACTCTTTTTTTAGAAAATATTTTTCTGCTTTATAGTTTAAATCGGTAAAAACGCGTGGTTTTTAATTTTTTTGTTATTATTTATGATAATTTCACAGTAAAGATTTAGCGGCTTTTTTGTATATAATATGTGAAAACAAATTATTGGTCATTCTTTCAATTACCTACATACATACTTCGTAATCTAAAAATTAAATACAATCCATCAACATGGTACCCTCCTTGTTAAATTAGAGCAACCAAGATCTTCTATCTGATGATAGGTTCTGTGACCATCGGGGTTTTAACATATGCAAGTTTTATTTTATTTTTGGAACGAAGTTCCTTATGGGAAGATGCGGCAGGGTAACCTAACCGGGAAAAAACGTCCGTAACGTAAGATTTTTATTAGTAATGCACACAGTGCACGACTTAACTTTATAATAACGTACAAATTAGTAATGCACACAGTGTTCAACTTAACTTTGTAATAACGTACAAAAAATAACATATTTTTTTATCTTTCATTGACCACGATCTCAGAGCGTTCGTTTGCGCAATACATTAACTCTTATGAAAACAACCATGAATGAAGTGTACCACAATAAATTCGTACGTTACCGAATGACCGTGGGTTGTTGCGAAACCTCCAGTTTTATTTTCTTTATACCTCGAATAGAACTTAAAATGAATATTGTTATTATAATAAGGAACTTCGTTCCTATCCGGTGTCCCACGACACCACACATCTTTTTTACCTTATTTCGAAGAGACAATGTATTTCGCTTGAAAATCATCGGATAGACGCACAAAACACTACCGTGTTTTAACCGTCCATAATATCGTTAAGCCCGATGATCATAATCAGGATAATCGGATAATTTTATTAATTAATTGTACTATCATACATCATGTCATGGATAAATAAGCAAAATTTCAATTCAATTAGACGCTTTAAAGTGTGTGAATCACGTTCAAAGATTCGGTTGCATAGGTATCTACTCGTACATGTCAAGCTAAAACGCGTGTTAAAAAAGAAATATTTTTAAGAAATTAAAAGTATGTATGAAATATACGTATGAAAATTGTTATACCTACTATTGATCGAAACTAATCACTAATGAAACGAAAATGTAAAGATTTAGTATTTCGGAACAAATCTTTGCGATAATTTAGAGGTTACTCTTTCATAATATGTGTGAAACGTTTGCTTTCACGTCCTTACGGATCCATCAAATCCAATAACCTTTGCATTAGACGCCTTCAGCTCTAACACTAGGAGCAGGCTTAGGGACCCCGGTAACCGTACTCGTCGAATTCGACAAAGAGGTCAACGTGCAACCTAGCCCATGCATCAGCCCGCTGAGTTTCTCGCCGGATCTTCTCAGCGGGTCGCGATTCCGATCCGGTAGTAGATTCATTCACGAAGCAATTGCTCTTGAGTTGTTAGGTCTCCTTCGGAGGCCCTCGGGTGGTTGTTAGCAAATCCCACCCCTCCTGGCTGAGCCTTTGCTCGCCCAACTGTCCTGGTGAAACTGGAAAGACCTTCGGGCCACCAGTAATATTTCAATAATAATAAAAAAACTTTTGCTTTAATGTGTTATTTATCTACGTCAAATTGAGTAATTATCTTTAACTGGCTTCCTATTTGTCTTGTAGTTATTGGCGAAAAAATTTCACAGAATGTCAATTTCGTTTCGTTTGCAAATATAGTAAAATTTATCGTCATCACTATGTCGCCGGTAAATGATGAGACAATAAGTATAGTGCTGTCCCAGTTATTCCATTTCTGGAATATTATACATCGACATTTTTTTTAGTGATAACTTCCTAAGGGAGAATAAGCCGCTTCGTTACGTCACACGTTACGGCGTCAGTCTATCTGGCTTCCCTTTCTCTCACGCATACGGCAGTGATACTGAGAAAGTATGTATCTCCTATTTATATATTTAAATCTATACACTAACAATGTATATACACAAAATTCTAATGTACATACATATTCAAGAATTGTAGCTAAGAATAAAATATATTTCAAAATCAATAAAATATTTTATTAGTAAATAACCTTTCCTTACATTATCGTATTTAATATACATAAAATTTAAGTAATAACCTAAGTTTTTCTCTATTTTAACAATTTGAATATTAAATAGTTCAACTTAGCTTAGTTCAAGTTATCACTTATGTCGAGCTTCCGCACACGATTTTTTTTCATAATCGGTTACCGAGCTTTCGGCCCCCCTGGTTTCACAACGTGCCCCCACCCACATTACAGTAATGCTCTTCAGTTTTAAATGTGGGGCAGCCGTTGTACTACAAAACTGAGACTTACAACTCATTTCGGGAACATGGGTGGCGGCATTCACGTTGTTGATGTATACGGCTCCGGCAACCGCTTAATACCAGGTTAGCCGTAAGCTCCCCCCCCCCCCCCCATCTATACAATAAATAAAAATCTCAATTGTAATCTCAAGTAAAGAATTGCTTTCCTACACCCTTGAAACCGGAATGTATAACGGCTTCGCCTCTAAAATTAGCAGTCCATTAGTACAGACCAGTGCAGGCTCTAACACTTCCTACCACCAGTAAATACAGATTTGCGATGATAGTACGCTGGTATAATACTCAAAGAAAACCCACTGAATTTCTCGCCGGTTCTTCTCACTTACCAGTCCGTGAACTGGAATAGCCCCTTAGGCTACCAGCTCTTAGATAGGAAACACCTCAGAGAACGCTGCTGCCATTCCTTTTTTTATTGTTTAGATATGTGGACGAGCTCACAGTCCACCTGGTGGTTATTGAAGCCCCATAGATATCTACAACGTAAATGCGCCACCCACCTTGAGATATAAGTTCTAAGGTCTCAGTATAGTTACAACGGCTGCCCCACCCTTCAAACCGAAACGCATTACTGCTTCACGGTAGAAATAGGCAGGGCGGTGGTACCTACCTGTGCGGACTCAAGAGGTCCTGCCACCAGTAATTAGTAATGGCATAATGATAATATTATAAATGATTCTCTGGCGAATCCTGCCTTTCCGCCTCGCCTTCTACAAAACCAACGGGAAGAGACGGATGACGCTATTCTACGCAACAAATTAATCATTATACTCAGGTTCTTGTTTCATATCGCTAACAACCGGAATCAGTAGAAGGTTCACTAAAACTCTAGTATTATGAGTCGTTCTTCATGTAAAGGAACGACAAAAACAAATATGTACATACGTAGCATTCGTAATTTATTTCTTGTATACAATTTTCTTCTTAGTCATAAAAGGCAAGTGATAAAGCATACTTCCACACGGTAAAATATCCACACATCCAGTTAAAAGAGTATTAAATGCATATTTATTATAAAGTACTAGCTGTACCCGTCCACTTCGCTGGGCATTTAAAATTAGCATTATTATTTCTCACCCCCACGAAGATTCTCATCATTAACGGCCCCACAACTGGTGTAGGGAGTCCAACAATCATATAAATATTAGCATATCTATTAAGTAGGTACATGTATTTTCTACGTGGATACCAAGTTTCAAGTCAATCGGATGCATGTTTCAGTATTTATAACGGAACATCCGTAAAAACCACTGTAGATTTATACATTAGTATAGATCTGCGACACAATTGAAATAATTCCCATGCATTAAAATTTTATTGCCATGTCTAAGTCAGAATCCACAATGAACAAGCTTTACCAGGGTCCCGAAAATTAATATTTTCAATTGCTTCTATGTAGGTCTGGTATCTGATTGAGATGCAGGTTTACGAGATCATTCAAGCATATTTGAAAAATGTTTTGATACTTTTAAGTCAAAATAAAATAAAAATATGTACAATTTAAATCTTTTTACCGTTTCATCTCTCGTTTATTATTTTTATTTTACTATTTCACTGTTCAATAACTTTACAGTTTGTGGTCTTAAACGTTTCATACATACATATTTTACCTATATATAAATATTTTATTATAAAAATACAACATTTACAATATTTACTATACATACAACATTTATTATAGACTAGCGACCCGCCCTCGCTTCGCTTCGGAAACATTAAAACACACATGAAACAAAAAATAAAAAATAAAATTAAAACAAGTAGCCTATGTTCATCAGGGACAATGTCGGCTTCTAATGGAAAAAGAATTTTTCAAATCGGTCCAGTAGTTTCGGAGCCTATTCGAAACAAACAAACAAATCTTTCCTCTTTATAATATTAGTATAGACATATCTATACTAACTATTGGTCACCCGTTAGTCGAAATTCGACTATAATTAATTTAAATTATAAGATTGTACACTATTAGGATTCTATTTTCAGACTATTATACTTCTATAATCACAAATTTCGCCAAGACTACACTAGGTATAGAAAAATATTAATAAAGAAACAATATTTAATCTATTCTCAATTTGACCACAGGCGTCAAGAACAAAAGTCGAATTAATAGCCTTGTCTTCTGAAGTCGGTTAAAAAGCGTGATTTCGGTACCTTAAATAGAGCTCTTTAACATTCTATTATTCAAAAATATTTTCACCTTCTACGTAAATGAAGACGCGGCTACAATTTAGCGTTATCCCAAAGTAAACCCTTCGTCAAACAGAACGCGTACTTAGCGCGCGTCAGAGCGCTAAACTAACGCCGCGCTATGACGCTCATAGTGCTGGCGCTCCGTTTGACGGTATGTTACCGTAGTAGTACAACACATCCCGGCGTCATAGCGTAGCGCTCTGACGCATCACGCGCGCTAATTACGCGTTCTGTTTGACGAAGGCTTTACTTCCACGTGGACGAAGTCGCAGGCAAAAGCTAGTTTTACTATAAATATTTGTAATTAAAGTTTTTCTGTAATCATCGTTTTCTGTACTCAGTTAACCTATTCCTCGAAATATTTTTTAATCAATGAATTAAAAAACAAACAAAATATAATTAATAAGATTACGTTTCTTTATGCGCAATTCAAACACTATTTCAAAAAAATGTAGCCAGGAATTTCATAGTACCTACCTAAGTACTTCTACACTTGCGAAATCGTGTACGAAGTAAAATATTCATTTTTAATTGCAAGACTAGTTCCTTTCAGAATATCACTCGGAAGCGCATTTTACATTTTGATCAATAAATTAAAATTAGAAAATACGGAATTCTGATATAAGTCACATGCTTACACGCAAATGCCGCACGCATCGTATTTTACAATAAGTGAAAGATAACGTTAAATCTCTTTCACCGTTTCATTTAAAATAAATCAATTAGTCAATACCATGGTAAAATTTTAACAAATGTTATTTACAAATATTACGATATACTGATTTAATGCTTAGATGGATGGACAAGCTCATGGCTCACCTGGTGTTGAGTGTTTACTATAGCCAATAGACATAAACAACATAAATGAAATATTTCAGAAAACCACCCCTCACGTAGCGCACTGTCCGCTTACAAACCGTTTTAAAGCTATTATTATTTAAAGCAAGGATTTTGCATACTTGGCTGCATTTAAGTAGCCTTGACTATCAGCTCCAGTGAGTGCTTTGTACTTTAACCGAAACTGACCAGGAGGGCTTACGTGACGGACCGCAAAAAGTGAGGTTAAGTGAATTATTGAATTTTTTTAAGTTTAATGTGGTTTCATCTGTTTTGATTCGGGTACTTCAAAAATTTTCATTTCAGTCTCAGTCCCACGATTCCCACCATTTCACCAAAAGTGTATTTCATTTTTTTTCCACTTTATTTATTCGCTAGTTATTTTTTTTATTTTCATTACATTTGATGTTCCTGTTGAATCAAAGGACACATCATCGGCTACAATGTGAGAATTGGCTGTATGTGTAATACTCCCTTTGCTTATCCAAATCAACAAAACGAATAACATCAATGTCAATTTGGAACAAATGCTCCCTTGGCAATTTAATTTTAATTTGGCGTTTAATTAACATATTTACTGAAAGTATCAATAGAATGTTCAATAATAATATTGAGAATTAGGAATGTACTTCCAAGTGTTTATAGGTAGTGCTCTCCGGCAATTAAAAATTCCACGGGCCGTGAATGTTGTTTAAGCCCAAGTATGGTTCATGAATACGGTTCATGAATTCATTCCCTGTAGCTCTTTGATTGCAAAATAAACGTTCATATTTACATTTACAACAAGGGAAGTAAAAATGAAAGAACGAACTAAAGATTTGGATTATTTTGGCAGTGATCCTGGGGCTGTTAAATTTGGAAATTTTATAAACTACTATTCATTTCATAACGTGGCTGAGAGAATAAACAATTTGCACCCAAATATGTTTCCCACTTTAACTGAAGATATATATTGCCTGGACATTGGTTGCAATACTGGAGATCTTACAAGAGAATTGTATATACTATTAAAAAACCTTTATCCTCAATGCATGTTGCACATATTGGCCGTTGACATTGACTCAGTACTCATAAACCGTGCTCAAGAGTCTAACACCGAACGAAACATTGAATACACAACCGCAAATGTCATGGCAAAAAGTGATCGTGATTCAATCAATGAATATCTCAAGAAAAATGGTAGATCAATGTTTGATATCACATTTTGTTTTTCTGTATCAATGTGGATTCATTTGAATAATGGAGATAATGGCTTAAGAGAATTTTTGGAACACATTAAAACAATTTCTAAATCAATAATAATTGAACCACAACCTTGGAAATGTTATAGGCAGGCACAAAAGAGAATTAAGAAAACTGGAAATACATTCCAACTGTATGACAATCTTAAAATAAGAAGTCAAGTTGACATTTTTATAGAAAGTATTTTAAAAGAGCATACACATATAAAAGTATATGAATCACAAAATTCTTCATGGAACAGAAAAATACAAAGTTACAAATTAAATATTCAATAAATGAAAAAAAAGAATTGATTTAATTTTTTAATAAAACCTTACATACTCTAACTTAATTTACAAACTTAGAAAAGTTATTTACATAGGTATCAATGACATCATTACCTTCACTAAATTACTCAAATTTGCCCCTTTAAGTGACAATTTCCTCTGTGTTTGGCTCAAACTCTAACTTGACATCACCACCCAGGCTTTCAACTTCCATTTCTGGTTCAGGAGCATTCAGCATATTGAGAGTAACCTGTAAATCGACAATAGTACTAATAAATATTTTTGCATAATCATGACAATGAAGTTAAAATCCTATGTTAAAATACTATCATTTATAAATTGTTAAATTATTTTATTAAAAGTTAAGTTACCAATAGAAGTGTTTTATTTTTATTTTTACTCTTAAAATTATTACTGAAATGCTATGTCTATGGTTTGTATTGTAAGGGTGAAGCCAATAAATCACATGCAACACAAATGAACATGACTATTTAAAAAACTCAACAAAATATTTTTTCAACTTTGATTCGGTTGTGTCTTTGTGACCCCTACTACAGTGATACAGTTCGGGCCTCAGGACAACTCTCTTTAGCTGGCCTTGAGCCTTGAGGCCTTGAGGCCCACCAACCTTTCCAAAAAGTCAATAATGGTTTCCTTACAAAAATTTACAACATTTTATATTGTTATAATATGTGAACTAACAATAAGCCACAGTAATTATTATTTCAACCTGCATCGTTAATGTCAAATTATTGCCATTGGATTCAATAATATAATTTTAGTTGTATCAGTTTTATATTACAGTGCTTCAACTGACTTGTTGTGAAATAGATGTGTGGACGGTGTGTTGACCCGATGTGCTTGGTGCATATTTTTCATCTGTAGCCTTTCGCTTTACTGGGGTTTTCGCCTGCACACTATTAATTTAAAAAACAACAATTAATTTTAAATATATATGATGATATACAACTGCTAAATTTTATATTATTTTTTAGATAACTAAAAAACCTAAGATCTTTTTGGTTTTAGGTAAACTTTTTTCTAAACCAGTAAAGCATTCCCTGTATCCATCCTCATGCCATTTACCACTGCACCAGTTGGGTAGTGATAGGATAACCAAATTACACCATGTTTATAACTGAATTACAGAATTTTAGCACATTTTTACCTCTGTAATTAAATGCTACAATAACTTTGAGTAAATTAATCAAACTACTAGTATTAAGTTATTAGTAAACTAAATCAATGCTACTCATTTTTTCATTAATATGATTTAAAAACAAATTTTATTACATTTCCCAATCAAAATAATAAAATTTATACAAACTTATAATAGTCTATCACTATCCAAATCCTTATAATTATCTATCAGGTGAGCTTTCAGCTTTTGTAAGACCAGTCACACTCCACTGTGACTATCACTAATTGTATGAAATCCATGAAATTCCTAAAACTATACACACACCACCTTTTTTTTATTGCTTAGATGGGTGGACGAGCTCACAGCCCACCTGGTGTTAAGTGGTTACTGCAGCCCATAGACATCTACAACGTAAATGTGCCACCCTCCTTGAGATATAAGTTCTTAAGTTCTAAGGTCTCAAGTATAGTTACAATGGCTGCCCTACCCTTCAAACCCAAATGCACGGCAGAAATAGGCAGGGTGACCTACTCACAAGAGATCCTACCATCAATAAATCCTATCATATGCTTATGTAAACCAACCTATCATGTATTGATACTATGAAACCTTTCTTATAGTATCAGTTTTATCACAGTCAAGTGAATTGTTAAGAAATGCATAGAGGACAAACATAGACATTGCTTGATACATGCCTTGGTGTAGTTTCAGCTATTGGATGAAGAAGCATTATCATTTCTGCCAATTTGTTAAAAGCGGCGCCAGCTTCAGTGAAAATTTCGCCAACCTGAAATAATACGAACCAAGTAAAATCGATCAAACATGTAACATTGCATGAGCATCATTTTTATAGAGTATTCATACAGTAAAGCATTTTAGTGATTTTATACCTTAGCAGCGGAATTATTCATTATTAACAATATAAATAAATAGCTTTTAAATTAGTAGTATGTACTCTGTTTCTTTACGAATATATTGTTCGATTGTATTAACTATATAGAGGTCATGTGGTAGGTATATTAGTGTTCGTGTTTTATTTATATAATCATGTACTATAGACCGTTCTACATTGGAGTTAAAGACAGTCAATACATTAATTCCTCCATTAACAGTAGGTACGTAGGTACAAATTTTGATTTCACAAATACAAACAAACATACAGTGTGACCAGATTTCATTTGACGAATCTACTGCTTGTGGAGATCTACTGAATTCTACCAAAAGAGAACGTGAAATACTAAAAATCTATTATACTATTTTTTTTGCTGTCGTGTTACAATGTAAAAACATGAATATTTCCTTGATTAAGCAATAAAATAATCAAAATAACAAAGAAACCACTATTACTTAAAGAAAAAAATTTTCTTTTTGTTAAATTATATAAATTATAAAGTACTAGAATAACTGAAAAGCATGATTTCTACTAAAATATACCAAATAATTTTTACATACTAAATTCTGTTGCCAGTGTCTCAAAATCTACCAAAAAAGTAGAAATCTACTAAATCTGGTCACGCTGCAAACATAGTTATTACTTATTTTTTTAAAGGGATTTTATGACCTAATAGTACTAAAGCGCCTCATTCACGATCCATCTTGCTGTACGTCCCGCCAAGGCCATGCATGATGCACGATGCATTTAGCGCTTTATTCACGATCCATCACGGCTTCCATCAGTAAGTATCTACAGTCAGCGTCGATGCGCCACTTCGATAAAGCGGCACGACACGAGAACCCCCTCATCGTGGCCGCCGGTAACTACATTCCCGATCCTGCGGACAGAATGGAAAGCAGTCGACGTCGCCCAAAACACGTCTTCTCGGATCCACCCGATCCACTAACGGTGCTTCTAGGTACTTCAAGCACCGGTCACCGTTCTCGTCGAACTCGTCGCTTGCGACGAAGGGCTCGACGAGTAAATTAACTCTGAGACACAGCCCACTGAGTTTCTCGCCGGATCTTCTCAGTGGGTTGCGTTTCCGATCCGGTGGTAGATTCTGCGAAGCACGGCTCTTGCTAGGGTTCGTGTTAGCATCGTCGTCAGGTTTGAGCCCCGCGAGCTCACCTACCAACGTTAGGGCGAAGCTGAAATAGCCTCTCAAGGCTATCAGCATAGGTAGGAAAAAAAACCCATCACAGCTGTACGTCAGCTCAAGGCCGCGGTGCTGGATGTATCAAGCGCGAACAGAATAATATATAAAATATTCGATAATAAATCGATCGAATTAAATGAGAGGACGTGTTTTAATTTATCTAAAATGCCAGCTGTTTTATCAAAACGCCAGAAAATGGGAGTTCTTCTGATGTTGTCAGCAGCAGCAGAAGAGAGGAAAAAAAAAGCAAGAGGTTTTGGATGAATATCATATACACTCTAGGGGTAGGGCAGACAAGACAAGGTCGAAAGTGGGGTGCTCTGATTCGGTTTTCGATATTTTTCGAATATTTTTGCATATTTATTTCCAAAACACGAGCAATTTTACTGTTTTATATTTAAATCTTGTTTAAAAAGTTAGTTTGTTACAGAGACAGTTAAAAAGACGCTATAAAAAAAGTGCGTCATTTCACGTTCCGTTCCACAGTATAAGCAAAATTTTGTTACTTTTTGTGCAAAAAGTCAATATAATTGCTTATTACAGAAACAGTTACAATGCACATTGGTTACAACAAATTTACTATGTGAATATATTAAAATAATAAAATATATTTCGGTAAAAACATGACATAAAATTTAACAAAATACACGCTTACCGTGAATGGAACGTGAAACGTCAAATGTGACATCTACCTTTACGATTTTTCTAATATTTACGGAAACTTTAAAAAATTATATCTCGTAAACCGGGAGTCTCCGCAACTTGAAATTTTGCAAAAAGCTTTTTATTTATGAGTACTATCTACAACTAATATTGTGAACTTCCAAATCGACGGACCCAAAAAGAAAGTTTAGCCAAATTCATTAATAATTTGTGGCGTAGGTAACTTGAATGAGTTGAATTAAAAAGACGAAAACGACATCAGATTCAGGGATCGCTGTTAAAAAAGTTAACGCATGGTATAAGATGCAATATGAACCCTATTGAATTAAGTAGGTATATACCGCAGTCTCCAAGAATGCCGAACTATCCACGATTTTGTTTTCCGAATACTCAATGGCGATTCAACTATGGCCCACGTGTGTCTTCTTGGTCGAATCAAACCCAATCCATTATTGATAGAAATGAAGAACATTGGTGTGAAACTTGTGATAGAGGATTTCCTAATGCAGTCATTCTGGAGAAACATAAAAATCAACATGAAGTAAGTATTTAAGTAGTTTATGCTATCAAAATTGGTATAAAAATGTGCACCCAACATTGAAGAAAATTACTAATTTCAATAATATGTATTTATATAGATTTACAATGCCATTACACTTTTTTCTTTGAGGCTATTTAAATGATAAGGTCTATGCCAATGGCTTACAATTTATTTAAGAGCTCAAAGATGAAATCTGTGAACTTATCGAAGACATACTGCTGCAAATTGTTGATTGATGATGGTAAATTTTATGAAAAGAATATGGTCTTCCAAGAGTTGCTATGGCTGTCATTTCCCTGATGATGTTTTTCATTAATGCATATACTCCACCAAGCAATTAAATAAACATCTAATGTTTTTGCTTTCAAAATAAATCTTTTTCATGTCATTAAGTTGGGCAGCCATTGTACTGAGAAACAGATTTAGAATTTATGTCTCAAGGTTGGGTGATAGCTTTAATGTGTGAATTGGGTCCAGTGACCACTTAACACCAGATGGGTAATGAACTTGTCCACATATCTTAGCAATAAAAAGATGTTAATAATAATAACTTGTGGTATAAATAATTCACAAACAATATGTTTCAACTGATTATAATTCAATAATTAATACTTATAAAACTATATCTGAAAATATATTTTCAGAAATGCAATATAGATGGATGTGGATTTGTAGCACATCCAAAGATAATAACCAAACACATACAAATGCAGCACTCGACTGGTCTTTACAAAAAAATTGCTAAATTAAATAATCCAGAGGAAATAAAGACATGGCGAGAAGAAAGAAGAAGAAACTATCCAACACAAGCTAATATTGAGAAAAAAGCTGCAATGGTTAGGGAGAAAATTGAAAGAGGTGAAAAAATGGGACTTTCAAGAGACAAGAATATGTGTGACAATAAAAAATCAGGTACTTACAAACCAAGGTTCATTTCTATTTTAAGCATCATGACATGGCCTGTATTAGGTTAATTAAGTAGTCACTTTAGGTCAGGTTAGCTTGTAGAAAGACTTTATAATTTAATATTTTTTTAAACACTATGAGTTTATCTACATGATGTTAAGTGGTTACAGGAGACCATAAAAATCACAACCTGAAAGCCACCTCCTGCACTCACCAATGATTCATAGCCAAATCTCAGTTACATTCTGTGAACAGTAAGAGTAAGGAGTAAAATATAAAGACACAGTTAAAAGGCAACATTTTCAACTTTTAGCTATATAAAATTACTTACTCTAAATAAAACATCCTTCCCACCTATCTGAATTAACGCCATGTTTTTAATTTTAAATGCACTTTTAATTTTAGGTATGAACAGAAAATACAAAAGTGATAATAGGAAATTCAATAACAAATGTGAACTAAATAGAAGAAAACCAATTGAACAAAAATTTAAAGCAAATCAGAAACCTTCCCAAACACCATTTAAAAAAACAAAAGTTCTACCAGTTCTTGATGAGAAAAGATCAATTAAACCATTTTTTGGTATCCAAGATATTCTGTCAGAAAGTGTAACTCCAGAAGATATTATGGAAACAGAAAAATTTGACCTTGGCATTGAAGATGATGATGTGAGTGAAGAAAATGTACCTAACACAAAAACAAACATTAGTTCTGAGTCAACTGTATGTAATGCCCTTTCTTCACTTATTTGTGAATATGGGTCTTCTGATGATGATGAGTTTACTGTATCAAAGGAAAACATTATTGACAAATGTAACCAAAATTCAGAAACAAATGGAAATCTTCATAAAGTCAACTCAGAACCTAAAAGTGTAGCCATACCTAATTTAAGTGTACCTGAAATGTCAGAACATAAAAGAAAAGATAGTAAAAGCTGTCTTTTGGATGTTGATGATGATGGCCCTGAAGAAATAGCAATATTAAAGAAGGACATAACAGAACTTACTCCGGATATAATACCTGATAAAAAATCAGTTCCTATAGAGAAAAAAGAAAAAATTAAGAGTTACCCTACAAAAGTAATTAAAAAACCACCAAGGTCAAGGGTGCCCTCTACACTTTTACAAAAACTACTTTTTAAGGAAGTGAAACAGGAACGTAATATTATTTTGCAGTGTATAAGACATATAAGAAAAAACAACTATTTTACCAAATAAATATCGATGCTTGAAAGGCAAACGTGACTAAGCGACAATAACTGCTTTGTACATAAATGAAATGATTTTAATAGACCTAGAAATATATATTTTTTGCACATCGAATATGGTTATTGCCTATCATTTATGTACAAAGCAGTTATTGTCGCTTAGTCACGTTTGCCTTTCAAGCATCAATTATATAAAAATGGGTTTTATTCAATTGCTGTTGTTTTTTGTGGTTATTGTTTTTAGTTACTATATTATGGAGTTACTATAGCTAGTAAGCTGTAGCCAGCTACTGACAACTACTACAGCTTTGAACTACCAAAGTAATTTTATATGCCAGTTGTAATTATAAATATAATTATATATTTTAACCTGAGATCGTCTTATACCGAAAACTAATGCGTTATCTTTAATAATTTAGGAAAAAACATTTAGCTTATGTTTATTTACATTATGGGGTCGAAATTTAATAATAATTAAATTATTTACCTAAATGTTATGTTAAAACATGTTTAAATATTTAGCCAATGAAATGTCGAACGTAATTAATTGTAAAACTCAAGCTGACCGTCGCACATGATCTAGGTCAAACCATCAGAAAACACCAGTAGTCAACATAAATAACGCTATGTGGTGGCAGCCGCTAACTACGTTCTAAAATGGAAGGTAGACTAGGTAGTAGATGTATTCGCGAATCAGCTGCCTCAGTTATTATACTTCTTTGGAGGACTAACTAAACCCCCAAATGCCCTAATTACGTTAAAAATTGCGTGAGTAAAAAATACAATCGTTTTCATAATCAGGGTGATCGTACATGGCTTGTCAAAACAGAAAAAAAACTTGTAATCATTTATTTCCCTTTAAAGAGCAGCAACATTTAAGGAGTCCGGCAGCTGGACTATCCGTATTCCTTATTTCAGGATGGAAGGTTAACTCATAGAGTAATAATAAATATGGTTTAACTGCTGGCCTTTGCAGATTCGCCATAACAGGTACGTGCGTTTTTTTTTTTAATTCTACCTAAGCCGGTGATAGGCTTAGAGGGCTATGCCAGCATAAACCTAGCTAGTAGGTGAGCTCACGGGTCTCTAGCAAGAGCAGTGCTTCGCAGAATCTACCACCGGATCGGAAACGCGTTACACTTAGTGGATCAGGAGGATCCGAAATGACGAGCTTAGGGCTATGTCGACTGTTTCAGCCCGTAGGGTCGGGTATGTAGTTATCGGCGGCCACGAGAAGAGGATTTTCGTGTCGTGCCGCTTTCTCAAAATGACGCACTGATGCTGACTGAAAATACTTACTAATGTAGTCAATCCCCATGCCATCGTGGAGATCCACATTCCCGACGAACAACGGTGCTCCGACGGCTATTCTGCAAAAACGAGATTTGGATGATTTGAGAGGGTTTGAAATTAGTGCGGACCGCGTGAGCAAACACTACCCTTGCATAAGTCATGACTGGGCGTATGCAAGTTTTGTAGTGTCACTTTATTACGAAGGGACAATTTACTTTGCTTGTAAATCATCGGATAGAAGCGGGCGAGTACGAACTCAAGATACCTGAATCGTGCTGAAACGACGTTTCCGAAATAAGTTTGCATTAAGCAAGTTTGAATAATAACTGAAGTCGTCGTGGCCTAACGGTCATGACGTCCGATGCATTTGTGTTGAGCGATGCACCGGTGTTCGAACCTCAGGCGGGTACCAATTTTTCTAATGAAATACGTACTCAACAAATGTTCACGATTGACTTCCACGGTGAAGGAATAACATCGTGTAATAAAAAATGAAACCCGCAAAATTATAATTTGCGTAATTACTGGTGGTAGGACCACTTGTGAGTCCGCGCGGGTGGGTACCACCACTCTGTTCTGCCGTGAAGTAGTAATGCGTTTCGGTTTGAAGGGTGGGGCAGCCGTTATAACTTTACTTGAGACCTTAGAACTTATTCTCAAGGTGGGTGTGTGGATGTCTATGGGCTCCAGTAACCACTTAACACCAGGTGGGCTGTGAGCTAGTCCACAATGCGACGCTATATTAAAAAAAAGCGTTTAGTTCTATGGTAAGCTGCATGTTGTAAATATTCAATGTTTAATCATAAAACAGTGTAAATAGGTAAACTATATTGTGTATTAGTAAGTGTATATATAGGCCCCGACAGTTACAAACTGAACTGCCCATTGTAAATATTCCAATACAAAGTGAGTGATATGTGTATACTGAGCTAAGTGATCTAGACGAAGAAATTAATAATAAACTTAGTCGACTGAATTCAGAAGCAAATTTAGAAGCTTCTGATTACACTGTTCTAAATTCAGTTACTGAATTACTTGTCAGTTTAAGCGCGACGAAGTTGGACGTGTCGTGTGTAAGAGGATGGCTCCAGTATTGTCTTGTCTAGACTCTAGACAAAAAAAAACGTGGCGTAGCCGTCGCTGTCGGTTCAATTGAAAAAAAGAAAAGAAGAACATGGGTGAAGAAATATTTATTGCTCCGCGGAAAGATTGCAAATATTAACATTATGATTGATTTAGAACCAGCAACTTTAGAAATTATCTATAAATGGATTCGAGATCGTTTGACCTAATAATAAACCTTGTGACACCGTTTATTCAAAAGCAGGATATTATCCTACGATAGTCTATTATATAAATATTACATATCTCATCCTACGATAGTATAAGTTCAAAAGAAAGATTGGTTGTAATACCGGACACTCACATTCGCACGAATACGCAAACCCACAAGTGTAGGACATTTGCAAATTATTATGCAGTTTTCGCTACATTCGCGGTTTTCCAAGCTGTATCGGTTTTTTAACGGACATCAAAGCGCGCGAATCGCGATCGTTCAACAATAGTAAAGATTTCGGGTCGGTGCAGAAAATCAGTCTCTTCAAATAACAGCTCACTTGAAATGTGAGCTCTTATTTTGTTTAGTTCACTTCAAACACAGCCAATGTCAACCCGACATTCGTAAACAAGTGTAGGAGGAAGTAAAATTTAGTTCTTTAATATGCTGCTAATAACCCCTGCTGACAAAAATTATCCCTGAAACTGATCATTAATGGATCCCAGGGCCGGACGCTGAAAGTGGTACCTAAGATTCATCTGGCAATTCCTTACTTCTCAGAACAGCTTTAAGTTTTCTGTTCATGTGGCCAAAAATCCTGCACGTTAATACGCTACGCTATTGAGCTAATGCTCAAAATACATCTTAAATATGGTTTACGTTTAAGTATTGTGATAAATTCACTACGTGTGCAAGATACATAGATTAGATGAATTAGGGGATATTTAGAATTCGTTTCAGGTGTTTTATTTTCCCTCTATAATCGATGTAGATACCTATATTTTATGTAATTTCCCCAGAATATTATAGATGGGTAAAGTATAAAAAGTTTAACTATGAGTTAAACTTCTTTCAAACAAATTATTGAAATAAAAAGTATTTTGCATTGTGAAATGTTTATTTTCACGGACGACACTTAAGGCTGCGCAGCAGCCGCTGGGGTTGTGGTAGCCGCAGCTTCTTCGCGAATACGATCCTTCTTGAGTGTACCCATGAATGCAGCCTTGTCAGCCGGCGTCTGGAATCGACCATGACCGAACTTGGACGAGGTGTCAATGAATTTGAGGTTGATCTTTTCTAGTGCAGCCCTCTTTGTATGCACACGCAGAGACTGAAATCAATATATCAATTGTTTTTACAAATGTAACAAAACGGAAAGTTCTGAAAATTGTGTCAGAGGTGGATGTATAGCATGCTAATCTACTATGTATAAATCATTTAGATTATGTTTATGTCCCTAACTTTATTGCTACCCTAAAATCTCATTTGATTTTCAGAAGCACCACAATGATACTTGTTTTTTGTAAATGAAGTAAGTTCTTGCTTGATTTATTTTTAACATTTTGGAAAGTCAAGTGAAAAAGTAAATAGCCTTTTTTAAGTTTATAAGTGCATAACAATTTAATTAAGTTGCAATATTCATAGTATATTTAATTTGGACCTTAAAGTTCTTCGATCAATAATAGTACTAGATTACGGATCAGGAACAAAAATAAGACGCTCCAGTGGCCACGTTTGCAGACACGAAAACATCTTCATTTCTTAGAAAAAAGTTTAATAATGTTAACGACTTCAGTTTATTATAAACCTTAATACTTAAACATAAAGTTTAATTACCATTGCAAAATATATGTATTTAGGTTCTTTCGTCAGAAAAAGAATATTATGGAATAAATTTAAAATGTCACTTGAACATAAAAAGTCATCAGTACAAAAATATTTATTCTAAAATGATACTTAAAGCCTAATTTATAAGGTTAAAAATATTTGTTTAAAATTTCGTGCTTATTGTATTGTGGAACTAGATGTAGTTCTTGGTATTACATTTCAATGCTCAGAACACAGTAAGTATTGAAAGACATAGAGTTGCAGAATATACATATTTGTTTTAGGTTTGTTTTGTATGGTCGCAACTATTTTTGACCGATTCAAAAAAGTAGTAGATAATATTTTACATTGCCGCTATTACAACAAATAGGTGATAAAAAATAAAATTGAATAAAGTAAAAAAAATATGAAAGGAAACACGAAACATGTTTTCCACGTATTCTTTATACAGAAGTAATTAAAACAATAATGTAGGTTTAATTACCTTTAAACAGATTCAGTTTGTTATAAAGCTGTCTTTTAGAAGTCATTTTTATATGAGCGGTTTCTTTTTTACAAATATAATGTAATCTTATATCAATGAATTTTTCTATAATCAGTTTAATTTAGGCTTATTTTATGGCTGTGTTCGTTTCCCCCAGAAAACAAATCCTTTTCAGCATATACGCTTAAAATATTTACACATACATATAAAGTTTTTTTAATACTTTTTTGCATTGATTTGCCACCACCATTGAACAATTCTAGAATTTTTATAAGAGTTCTATATTTCTTCTCCTCTTTCTTTCGCGACAATATATATCCATTGTGCACAGCGACAAGGGGCTACTAGGAAATCTACAAACAAAAATAACATTATAAAATAACAAAACTACTCTATGCATTCCGTGTCCAAGAATAGGTGATGTTTGTTACAATAGTTGGTGCCTTGTT